TCTGTAGTCATAATTTCTTCTCGTGTGTATATTGTGACTGCTGGGAACTACAGTGTTATATGAAATTCACAGTAACGTCCGGGTAAATCAAGAAAAAGATACTAATGAAAGGTCACCCCACGGGGGGGTGGGTTGGGGGGGCAGCGGGGGTGGGGGGGGGAGGGGGGGGGGGGGGGGAGTTTTGGTAACCGGGGGGGGGGGGGGGGGGGGGGGTGGGGGGGGGAGTTGGTGGGAGTTGTAGGTGGGATCCGGGGGGGGGGGGGGGGGGATGGTTATGGGGGGGGGGGGGGGGGGGGGGGGGGGGGGGGGGGATATGGGGAGTAGTTAAATAGGGTGGATGAGTGGATAGGTTGATAGTTGTTTTTGATTAAAGTATGAATGTTGTTTAGGTTTTTATGTAAGGGGGTAGGGAGAGTAGGAAGGATAAGGAGATGTGAGATAAATAATGTATATGTATCAGGGGGTTTATGTGTATGTTGAATGTAGAGAGTGTTTATTGGGTGAATATGTTGTTAATAGTTTTTAATGGATTATTGGGTTAAATGAGCTGATGTGGGTAAGGATAAGGGGTTAGTAATTTTTGTTTTGTCGACCCATCGAAGATTAGTTGATGTACGCTTGATCTAGCGCGTCTTCAATGGAGGTCACTACGCCAATGGTAATCTGTGTTATCCACAAAGGAAGATAAACGAGCTATGGCTACATCTCTGTGTAATGTCGAAATATGGATGAGGAATGATTGAGAGCGAGTACTCGCCTTGTGAACAGAGCTTTTTACATGGCTGCTTGGACTTTACTCTGTTTACTACTCTTTGGTGTTCGTGGTCAGGAAGTTGTAGATCCATCTAACAACTTCCCGTCGAGTTCCTTTACACGCATTTGGTGTGTTAGTACACCATGGTCCCACACTTGGAAACAGTTTGTTTTTCCCACATCACTGCAGGAGGCAGTTTTTTTAATACTGTGCACACTCACTGGCATAGACCCATTCTATCCTATCTAGGCCAGAATTTTTACCGCTCACAGCTTATCTGAGTGTGCTACCTCATGACGTAGAACTACGTGAAGGGACAGGATCCTCAATGATGTAGTTCTAGGTGATGGCACTATAAAGGTTTAAATAAAAACAAATCAAATCAAAGTTTATTTCTTAAGGTTTTAAAATGGGGGGGTCTACAGATTTTGGGTTTATTGTTGGGTTCATGTAATAAAATAAGAGGGGGCCCCACTGAACACCTAGCAAGGCAGGCCCTTTTTGGGAAAACTTGATTAATTTTTAAACCCCTAAATTATTACAAATTGTGGAGAAAGTTGACTAATAAAAGGGGACAAATACTAGTTTGGAATTTCAATGTGAATGCTTTTTTTTTGGCAAATACATAGTTTCTATTTTGGGGAGTATCAAGGCAAATTTGGGAATTTGGGAAAATCATTATTTTAAGTTAAAATGTATTTCTGTGCTTATAGTCAAATGGGGGGAGCAAGTGAGTGTGTGGAAAAAAAGGTGGTTTTTTGTATTATTGACAGGGGGTTCAGGGGGATAAATGTTTTTTTAAGGGAGTTTTGAAGGTGATCAAAGTGTCTGCAGTTCTAAGTTTTCGTAGGGTGTTCCAATTTTAGGGGTTTTTTACATACATTGAATTTTTGTATGTATAGATTAGTCGGAAACGGGGAATGTCGTGAGATGTTTTTGGGCTGGGTTATGCTTGTGGGTCCCGTCCCAACTATCAAGAAAAAAACTTTGGCAAGGTTTAAAATTGGGAATTTTAAAGGCCTTTATGTGATTGCCCAGTAGTAAGTGTGGATGTCTGAACAAGGAGTAAGTTTAGATCTATGAAGAGGGGGGGGGGGGGTTTGCCAGGGGTGGGGTTTTTGTAATTATTTTTACTGCGGCTTTTTGTTGAGTTATTTTGGCTTTAGGTGTTTTGCTGCAGTTGACCCCCAAACCAAATTGCATAGGGGAGGGTTTGGATAAAAGAGTGAATGGTATAGTGTAGAAAGGGGATTTGGGGCACGAGTACGTTCTTGGGGAGGATCCCCAATGTTTTGGATACTTTTTTTGATATGTGTTGGATATGGGTGCTGAAAAAAGGTTGTGTTAAGGATGGCCCAGGGGTTTGCCCTCATTATTCTGGCAGTTTGGTGCTGTCAGTTTAATGTTTGTTGGCAGCACCCGCTCTTACAAACATTTAAGTAGGTTTTGTCATCTAAGTGTAAGTTTTTGGGTGTCATCCAGTTGATATTTTGGCAGGGTTTCATTAACAATGGTTTAGGGTGGCAAGATTGGGGAAGATGACATAAATCGTGTTCAGCAAAGAATGGGTTTCAGGTTTTGGGAACGTTTGGAAGATCTTGTGTAAATGGGAAAGAGGGGCCCAAAGGACATTCCGGGAACCCCAGTATCAAGGGGCCCGTGTTGATGAGGGTTGTCTTTAATGTACAAATGATACTATTGTAGGTGGGATTTGAAATAGCAAGCGCTTGGCCTCTTATACTTAATGGTCAAGTTTGGGAGTAGGATGCCGTGGTTCTGTGTAAAAAGTTTTTTGGTCAATAAAAATTCCCCGTGGATTTTCCCTTTTTTTCAAGCGGTAAAGCAGATCTACATTTTTACAATTGCATCATTATTATTATTTTTTATCCACCGGGCCCATTCCCACCAAGGCGGTGGCCCGAAAAAGAAAAACTTTCACCCTATTTTCCCCCCTCACTGTCTTTCAAATGCTTTACACACGTTTTTAAACTGAACATTAAAACCCCCTTCGAGGAGGCACTGTCTTCCCTTCCAGGACCAGTCCGGCCTGCCCTTTCCCCGAAAACCCTCATAAATTTTTGCCACACCCAACAGCATGTCAAGTATTAAAAAAAAATTTGTCTCCATTACCCCTTTTCAAACACGCTCACGCATGCCTGCTGGAAGTCCAAGCCCCTCGCACACAAAACCTCCTTTACCCCCTCCCTCCAAACCCTTCCTAGGCCGACCCCTACCCCGCCTTCCTTCCACTACAGACTGATACACTCTTTGAAGTTATTCTGTTTCGCTCCATTCTCTCTACATGTCCGAAACCACCTCAACAACCCTTCCTCAGCCCTCTGGACAACAGTTTTGGTAACCCCGCCCCTCCTCCTAATTTCCCAAAAACTACAAATTCTCTGCATTATATTCACCCACACATGCCCTCAGACATGACATCTCCACTGCCTCCAGCCTTCTCCTCGCTGCAAAATTCATCCCCCACGTTTTCACACCCTATAAGAGCGTTGGGTTTAAAACTATACTCTCATACATTCCCCCTCTTTGCCTCCAAGGACAAAGTTCTTTGTCTCCACAGACCCCTAAGTGCACCACTCACTCTTTTTCCCTCATCAATTCTATGTTTCACCTCATCTTTCATAAAACCCATCGCTGACAACGTCCACTCCCAAATATCTGAATACGTTCACCTCCCCCATACTCTCTCCCTCCAATCTGTATTCAATCTTCATCACCTAATCTTTTTGTTATCCTCATAACCTTACTCTTTCCTGTATTCACCTTTAATTTTCTTCTTTTGCACACCCTACCAAATTCATCCACCAATCTCGCAACTTCTTTTCAGAATCTCCAAGAGCACAGTGTTCATCAGCAAGAGCAGCTGTGACAACTCCCACTTTGTGTGTGATTCTTTATCTTTTAACTCCACGCCTCTTGCCAAGACCCTCGCATTTACTTCTCTTACAACCCCATCTATAAATATATTAAACAACCACGGTGACATCACACATCCTTGTCTAAGGCCTACTTTTACTGGGAAAAAATTTCCCTCTTTCCTACATACTCTAACTTGAGCCTCACTATCCTCGTAAAAACTCTTCACTGCTTTCAGTAACCTACCTCCTACACCATACACTTGCAACATTAGTACTTTTATTTTTCCTGAAACCAAATTGGCAGGGGTTGAGCATGTTTTGTGCCATTATAAATGAATACAGTCTCCTGTGCACGAGTTTCTCAAAGATTTTGGATAGCAATGGTAAGTTTGATATTGGCCTATAGTTGTTTACTTCTGCAGGGTCACCACCTTTATGTATTGGTGTAATTCTTGCTGTCTTGAGTAGTTTCGGGAAGGTGCTAGTTTCTAGTGACTTGTTGAAAAGTAATGAAATAGCATGCGAAAGGACATGGGCTGCTCGCTTGTACAATAATGGTGGGACATGAGACAGGTTCCTTGAGTTATTTTTAAGTGACTTTATAATCTCAGTGACTTCGGTGGGCTCAGTTGGTACAAGATAGAAGGAATTTGGGAAATTCCCGTCTAGATAGTCCCCGGCATGGGCGTTGATACGTGGGATTTTACTGGCAAGATTAGTTTCCTATGTTGAAAAGAAGTCGTTTATCTTAAATAGCTGTTTCAGTGGGATGCAGTGGTGTTTCGTTAGGTTTAGTTAGGACAATACTCTTGTTTTTTTTTAGTTTGTGGGTGACCAGAATCTGAGAGAGTGTTTTCCAGGTCTTTTTTATATCTCCTCTTGTATCAGTGAATCTGCTGGAGTAGTACAGTTGTTTGGCTTTCTTTATTACTTTGGTGAGAACTGATGAATAGTGTTTAAGAATATCTTTGTGTATTAAGCCCTGTCTATATTGCTTTTCATATTGGTGTTTCTTATCAATGGATTTCAGAATGCTGCTGGTTAGCCATGGGCAACCGAACCGTTTATTTGTGATCTGTTTCGTTTTTATAGGACAATGTTTGTTGTATAGTCTAAGTAATTTGTTAAGAAAAATGTCTGTCCATTTGTCAATACCATTGGCCTTGGAGAATTCTGTAGGTCAGTCAACAGTCCCTTAATTTTTTATACTTCACTGCTAATTTCATTTTTTTCTGACTCCTTAGGTAGGAGAGAGGCTTCATTCCTCAGCTTTGCTTTCACACTTTAGTTCGATAAATTTGGCAGTATATTTCACTCTAAGAAATTATTTTTTTTTTGTCTTGGCTTTTAATACCTTAACCTTTTTTTAGCCTCTTCACTGGTAACTCCATCACAATGGCTCAACGGTGTGCTGCAGTGTATCGAAGGGTGGCAGCCTCTAGAGAAGGTACACCAACACACTCAAGGACACCATCTCGCAGTACCTCAAGGGAAGCTCTGAATTATGATTCTGTGGCAGATGAAACTAGTAACAGTCATAGGGTTTATAATGATTGCCATGTTCTGATGAATGGTAACAGGAGTAGCAGTTACCTTGCACCCCTTCAAGATGAAAGGTAAATCTGTGGATACTTAAATTTGTATGGTTCTCCTCATTTTTTTTTTTTAAGCTGACCGTCTCCCATCAAGGCATGGTGACCCCCAAAAAAAAAAAACACTTTCACCATCATTTACACATAATCAATGTCTTTGCAGAGGTGCCCAGATATGACAATTTTAATGTCACTCCAAACAGACAATATCTCAAACCCCTCCTTTACAATGCAGGCATTGTACAGGTCTCCCTCAACATTCGCGAGGGTTAGGGGATCAAGAGCCTCGTGAATGTTGAAAAACCGTGAATGTTTGGTGCCCCAATATATTGTAGGGAAATATAATACAATGCTGCTTCCTTAACTTGTCCAACCATGAACAATCATAAAGTACATGAAAACGTCGTAAATTGTACTAAATACATACGTTATGCCTTAATAACATGTATGTTATTAAATACCACTGCCTCCACCACTGCGAGTCCCTACTACCCTCCCTCCGACCCCCTACAACTGGCAGCCAGCCCTCCCACCACTGTGTGGTGAGTGTTTTGTTTGTTCATTATTTGCTATTAAACTACAGTATAAATAATGTAAACCGATCCATGACTGCATACTAGAATGGCTATTCGGACAGGTATTGGACGGTGACATCATGTGTTTACTCTTGAACACAGCAAAGAATCAAACATTTCTGCTACTGCTAAAATAATAATAATAATAATAATAATAATAATAATATAATATATATAATAATAAAAAATAATATAATAATAATAATATAATATAATAATAATAATAATAATAATAAATAATAATAATATAATAATAATAATAATAATAATAATAATAATAATAATAAATACCAGTTGCCATCCTACCAGAAAAGTAAATGTCACTATCGCCGCAAGGTATGGCAACACCGCATACCCAAACAAAAACAGTGGCACACAGCTCTTATTGTAGCGCTCTTAAAAGTGGTGATATCCAAATTAATCCAGGACCTCAAACTATTGTGCAGAGGCAAAACAGACAGATAAATGACGGCGATAATGATGGTCTAGTAGCTAGGAATGATAACCTTAACTCCATATGTAATGCATACATAGGTCAATTTGAGACAATACAGCCATTATTATCTCAAACACTACCAAACAGGTGCATACACTGTACTAAAGTATGCATGAAAAACAGAAAAGGCACCTTATGTAAAATGTGTAAGGGGTGGGTGCATGATGGATGTATGTACAATGATAACAACAGTGCCAGAATTCATTTTGTGTGTAACAAATGCACTTTGGCATAATTACAATTTAGCAGTGATGACATTGATTTACCTAAATTTAATACAAATGACCCATTGCCATATATTGATGATTATGATTGTTTTATGAAAACAGGCCTTCACTTTATTCATGTCAATGCAAGATCACTTCTTCCTAAATTGGCAGAGATTAGGATTCTAGCTAACAAAATTAGGGCGGCAGTTATAACCATCTCTGAATCTTGGTTGGATGATACGGTGACTGACGACGAGGTCAAAATAGATGGTTACAATATAAAACGCTTAGATAGGAACAGAAAGGGTGGTGGAATATGTGCCTACTTTAGAAATGACTTAGCTTACAACCAAAAAGACCTGATTTAAATAACAATAAACTGGAGATCTATGGTTTGAAGTGCTGCTTCCTAAGACCAAACCCATCTTAGTAGGAACTAGTTACCGCCCTCCTACCCAGGACCAGTTCTTAGAAGACTTTTCCAGAGTCTTGTCCGGAGTTGAAAACAATTGCGAGACAATAATACTGGGCGATTTTCAATATCTGTTTTCAGCAGCAAAATAACGGGCTATGCAAAAGGTATAAGCAAATTCTAGGATTAAATAGTTACACTCAACTAATTAATACTCCAACCCGGATCACACAGTTCTCAGCCACCCTAATTGACCACATACTTTGTAACTGCTCTGAGAACATTAGTCAGTCAGGCATCATTACCACAGGTCTTAGTGATCATTTCATCATTTACTGCACCAGGAAAATCACTAGGGATAGGATAGGCCTACACAGGACAATAAAATGAGGTCAACTAGAAACTACAGTAAAGAAACACTGGTAAATAGGCTACACAATTGTGACTGGACAGAGATAACAAGTTGCACGGACGTAAACGATGCCTGGGAAAAATTTAAAACAATGTTCACTACTATCCTTGATAATATTGCACCAGTTAAAGAGGTTAGGATTAAACGAAGAACTGAACCCTGGATGAATACTGAGATATTAGATAATATGAAATTCAGAGACCAGCTGCTAAAAAGATTTAAAGCAAACAGACAGGATATTGCAGCACTAAATGAATTCCAAAGGGTGAGAAACAGAGTACAGAGACTTATAAAAGGAGCAAAGGCAAAGCACTACTGCTCAAAAATTGAAGAGTATAAGCATAACCCCAGAAAGCTCTGGTAACAACTAAAACAGTTGGGGTATAGCCATAAGCCAGTAGATAGGTCTAACATAGTACTCACTATCGATAATGAGGTATGCCATGAAACATCTAAGGTGGCAAATTGCTTTAATTCATACTACACATCTGTTGCATCAACACTAGTAAGTAAACTACCAGCTGCATCAAATACCTTTAACACAGACTCTGATAAGTTTCAAACATACTATACCAATAAAGGGGTAACCCCAAACAGTTGTCAACTAGTTAGTGTATCTCATGACTTTATTCAAAAAGAACTAAGCAGGTTAAACCCAACTAAGAGCACAGGCCCTGATACATCCCGTCTAAGTTCCTAAAAGATGGTGCTTCTAAACTGTCAATCCCTATTGCTCACATAATAAATCTATCAATCACCACAAATACCGTACCGGAGGGATTCAAGGAGGCCAGAGTTACTCCTATCTTCAAGAAAAATAGTAGGTCTGATGTAAGCAACTATAGGCCTGTTAGTATACTCAGTATAATATCTAAAATTCTAGAGAGGGCGGTGTATTCTCAAGTAGTTAACCCTTTCAGGGTCCAAGGCCCAAATCTGGAGTCACGCACCAGTGTCCAAGAATTTAAAAAAAAAAAATTGTTATTTTTTCTTATGAAATCGTAGAGAATCTTTTTGTGAAGGTAATAAAACAAAAAGTACGAAATTTGGTGGAAAATTGACGAAATTATGCTCTCGCGAATTTTGATGTGTCAGCGATATTTACGAATCGGCGATTTTGCCGACTTTGACTCCCATTTTAGGCCAATTACATTATTCCAATCAACCAAATTCTTAGCTATTTCACTAGTATTACTTCTATTCTATCGATTGAGCACAAGAAATCGCCAAGTCAACTGTTTCAACTACAAAATAAAGTGATCGGAAATTGTTAATTTGGCCAATTTAAACAAAAGTTCAAAATATTCCAATTTCAAAATAGGGTCCAGAATGAACAATGTAGGCATTCCTGGCACTAAACTAACATTTCCTCTGTTCATTAGTTATGTTTTGACGCTTTACAAATAAGTTCCATTTTGATTTTTTATTCACATAATGAATTTTTATTCACACCAAAAAATAGAAGATTTACTGTTATGCAATACTGTAATAATTGTATAAATATCATCACCATATTTGTGAATGTATATTAGACCCACCAGCTGGTGTGTATTAGACGTGTGAGGTCGTTTGTTTACGCTTGAATATCGGCAAAAATTTAACATTTCTGCTACTTTGAGCTCAGTTTCAAGCCATTTCCAGTGCTAAAACCAATCAAAATCATCTCTATTTCTGTAATGAGACCAAGAAATCGCAAATACAACTATAAAAAACATACGAAAAAACACTGCAAAGTTGCTGTTTTAATCGAAAAATCATGATTTCATTTTTTTTCTCTCATTATACACAGTGTGCTGCAGGATCTGTTTTATGTGGTGCACACATACCACATAGATGTATTCTCTCATATCTAGGCCCAAATGTACCACTCACAGTTTATCAGAATGAGCTGAGCTCATGGCGTAGATCTACGGTTTGGACTCTGAACGTAAAGCCGTAGATCTATGGGACGGACCCTGAAAGGGTTAAGTACCTTAATGACAACAACATATCACTCTCTTATTTACCCCTATCTCACCTATGGAATTTGTGCATGGGGCTCAACAACAAGTAACCATCTCAGAGCACTAATTACCCAACAAAAGGCTGCAGTTAGAATGATAACAAATTCTCACTACAGGCAGCACACTCCACCAATATTCAATACACTCAACCTACTCACCATACAAAACATCCATACTTATTACTGCACCTATTACATACATAGAACACTCAACTCTGATATTAACCCTCCCCTCAAACATCTCCTTGCCAACCTCAACAGAACACATGACCATAACACAAGGCACAGATCACTCTTTGATATTCCTCGTGTCCATCTCACGCTATGCAAAAACTCAATGCACATAAAAGGCCCTAAAATCTGGAATTCATTACCTGTAAATATAAAAGAAACACTACCTGTTTATAAATTCAAGTCTCTTCTCAAAGATCACTTACTCACCCAAAACCAAATAAATACTGAATAACTGAACCTTATAAATTATATATCTTAAATGTTTCTCACAATTATATCACATAAATGTTAAACCTAAAACCCAATTAACTTTATTATTTTTAAATACACTACCTAACAGAATACTCCATTCTACTGAATTTATAACAATGCATGCAACCATATGACCTGTCTTTGTAATACTCACTTGTGCTTTATAGTAATCAGTTTACATTAATGTTTTCACTGATTTCATCATTGCTTAGTTAATCTTAAGTTAATTTTAAGCCAGCCCGTAAAAGCTATGCATAGTATAAGTGGCTTTGGCATGCTGCTCTTATCTGTATTTTTTTTGTACCTCTGTAAGTGTGCTCAAATTATAAATAAATAAATAAATAAATAAATAAACATTCTCCATAGCTATCAATCGGGCTTTAGAAGATCCTACTCAACCGACACCTCCCTTATTAATCTGATGGATTACCT